GGACTCTGATTCCTTCGGTGATGAGCGTGAGAAATACATAACATTTTTTTTTTAGTTTTTTTTTTGGCTATTATAACAGGCAATGCTGACTCCTAACAAGCTAAACAATTATAATATCATAACTAATAGTTAGGACAGGTAATGCTGACCCATAACAAGATAATATCGTAACTAATAGTTAGGACAGGTAATGCTGATCGATAACACGATAATATCATAACTAATAAAGAGGACAAGCAATGCTGACCCATAACAAGATAATATCGTAACTTATAGTTAGGACAGGTAATGCTGACCCATAACAAGATAATATCATAACTAATAGTTAGAGTAGACTGACCTCTAACAAGTTAAACCCCCTTGAGTTTAAATGTAGGGAAACAGCTTTCTGCTACAACTCATCGTGGATAGGTACCCAGTCAGACTTTACGAGAGATCTTACTTTACGAGAGATCTTACTTTACGCAAAGCTTCATCATAAGATTATGCAGATTTGAATTCAAACTCTGACGCCAAGTTTCGTATATTATTGCAGTACTTAATCACATACATGATGTGTTGAGAAAATGTCTGGTAATAAATTGTAATGAAAATGTCAAACGCATTACACCATTGTGCAATGGTTTAAATTTCCTTGCGTTTTGTACCTGAGTTAATTCGAACATTGGATCCTGTTGTATACAAGACCATGGACACATTAATTAAAAACCGTATAGACACGAAATACCAGTGCTTCTCAAATTCAGATACAAATTTTCAACTAAATAAATCTTCTCTAATTATGTGTTATTGCAATAGCAATCTGACTAAAATACAGATCTATATTTCGTTTCGTTTTTTTTTATACTTTCGATGGCCTACACTACATGAAGATCTAACCGATTGTAATGGAACGTCCCCCCAGATGTCATATGAGCTGCTTTGGACCCTATGACGTCAGACATTTGACTAACCAATCAGCGTTGATGTTTCTAGTGGGCTAGCCACAGTTCCGTGCACCTCACGCCAAAAACTCGCAGTAACGGACTGTTTCATCGGCTAATCCCTCACATCATCCTGAATGTATGCTATTTTTCTATACAAAATTTATCTAATCGAAGGATATATCGGAATGGCCAAAACAAGAACTTAAAGGACCATGATGATCAATAAATCAGCATCAAAATTGAGCAAAATGTACTCACTCAATGTAGATGAAAATAACTTTAAACAATGGATTACTAATTAAAAAGCAGAAATGTGACCATAAATAGTTACTGTGAGAAAAATTCCTCAGTGTTATAGAAAACCATAAATCCCTGTTTATAACTGAGCGGTAGTGAACAAGTTGCTAATCCCAGATGGATAAATGGACAAGACCAAACCAATCATGATCACCCATTGGGGGAAACCGAGAGAGAGAGAGAGAGAGAGAGAGAGAGGCCTGTTGATCAAAAAAAAATCTCACCTTGCATCATAAACTAATTTATTTACAATAAAATATAATATAAGTTTAATTTAAAATCATTTGTTGCGATTTTTTTTACCTGTACTTCGCTAGTATTTTGTGCGGAACTGTAAATCTCCATCTCGCCTCTCTCCTTCGGTACAACAATGGACGCCTGTGTTTCCAGATAAAAATGTTCTTGTGCTCCCATATGTACCTCACCTTCCAGTATCTCATCACAGTTTTTAAATCCACTATCTATATCACCAGTATCATATATTACGGGTTTATCCCAGTAAGAATGGTTTAAGATGGCGTCCTAAAATTAGAGTTACTTTACTCACTACATTTTATTTATTTCAATCCGGATTATTGCCCTTATTATTGGGTTTTGTTTGTTTTTTTGACAATCGCAGCCAAGAAGTGACCATCAGTAGGCGACCACTGTTTTTCTGTTTTATTTTTAGTTCAACTTGTATCTTTAAAGGTCCAGGACTGTACATCACAGTTGTTTTTGTTGCTTGCAATTTTTGTGTCCCACTGTCACCAGGTTTGCCTAATGGATTTTGTTTGTGTGCAGCCCCCTCCGCCCACCCCCCGCTGCACTTTCTATTAAAGTAACTATTCTTGAGAACGTAAGCCATAGATAACATAGTGCATGAGGAGTACTTTACTCAGTCGACCTGGGCTTAGGGCCGCGTCCTACCTCCCTTTGTATCAAACGGTTTTAAATCGGGATATTTTCAACTAACGGATGTGTATGGTTACAACTATATATTGCCTCTATATAAAGTTATTATAGCTGGTAAATCGGTTAAAGCTATATTATCTCTATAGTTATTAGGGCTGGTAAATCGGGATAAGTTTAACTAAAGTTAAAGCTATATTACCTCTATAGTTATTATGGCTGGTAAATCTTGATATTCTATTTTAACACATTTACTAGCTTCTCGGGCGATCTCACTTGACGTAGCTACAATGCCTCCGATTAAACATCCCTCACATGTTACCTACGATATTAAATCAAATGTCTTAAAAAGAGTATGATATAATTCTACTTAAAGACGTGTGCCCTGGAGATCCAATAGGATATATATTCTAATTCAAAAATTATTTTTAAGTGACAATGTCAACAAGAAAATACTATCATAACTCAAAATCGTTGATGTTGTTATATTTGGGAAGTATGATTGAATGGATATGTGTGTAAGATTGTGTAGTCTTTAGCCGTTCCATTATAGCAATATATTCTCAATTTGAATGGGACGGGTTCGAATCCAAGCGCAGCCCGAGAAGTACGTTAAAGCAGGGTCTAGGCTTGTCGGGATTGGTGCCTGCGAGGCTGGAAAAGAGATTGAGTCTAGTCGATCGGATAGCATGAAAAACCGCGACCCACCTATGGCCACTAGACAGTTTGGTAATCTAAGAAGGGTAGGTGGAAGCGTTGCTGTCCGAGCTGAAGAGGTGCTAAACCATATTCCAATACTGTTTGCATGACATGAACAGCACAAATAGTTTTCGCAAGAAATTCTAAATATACAATGATAATTTCGGGCAAATTGTTTACAGCACATTCCATTATCTAAATTACCTCCTCAACAGCAAAGAGATCTTCTTGTATCGTAGCCATTTTATTGTGACCTGGTATATCTGTGTGATCTATATAACCTTTGACCCCGGGTATTTGTAATGCAGCGGATGTATCAACGTTTAATAGCTTAGCATGAGCTCTAGAACTATAAACTGGTGCCATAAAAAGTTCGCCTGTAATATACGATATCAAATGGATTTAGAGAGAGAGCGAGAGAGAGAGAGAGAGAGAGAGAGAGGGGCCTGTTGATAAAAAAAACCCATCTCACCTTGCATCATAAACTAATTTATTTACAATAAAATATAAGTTTATTATAAGTTACTGGTTGTCAGCGAGCTATGCGGGTTTAAACGTCATTAAACATGGTGTTCTAAAACTTTGATGCCCTGGAACTGCAGATTTATCATCTGATTTAGAATAACATGGTACTGGCAACGCAATGATGAGACTGATTACGTTGCATTTTTAAAAAAATAAAAACATAATTTATTCTGGCGGAAATTGCTTTTTCAGAAAAATTATACTCAAAACTATTTCTTCAGATTGAAATATTTCTTCAAAATGAAAAACATTAGGTTCCGCAATTATTTTTGTATAGTTTACGTTTCTATATTAACGTAATAAATTTACCTTTCAACGGTAACATATCATCAACATAGACAGCTTCACCTGTAGCTTGTTGGTAAGCTGATGTATGCACAATAGGTCGTCCTATAGGATTATCATCTTTCTGAGCAGCACCGACCAATTCATATACCTGGGTTCCTTTACTTGGCTGTAATTCCGGTGGTTCTATGGCGCTCAGGTGAGATCGGGGTATTGGGTTTCCACGAATGATTCCCTGCAATGGAATATTTTGGAATGTGGTTTAACATGTCATTCTGACACTAACATACAATAAATTTGATTTATCTAGTGAAGTGTGTAATACTAGGAGGGAGGGGGATTTTACCAGTGGCGATTTCACCCACTCTCCTTCAAATTCAAATGGCCAAGGGATCGTTTATATACATCATTAATTTATATACGGGGTTTAGATCTTTCGTCCATCCCCACGACTAGACACACATTTCCTGCAAGTCCCAAGGGCGCCATGAGAACTAGACTGGAAAAATATTTTTTAGGTAGACCCCAGAATCTGAACTAGGTAAGGACGACGATTTCATGTGAATATGGTATATTAATAAATATAATAATTATACCTTAATAGAAAGTTGTTGTGCGACTGATAAGTAAAATTTAAAGAAGAAACTTGTAGTTAAAGTTCTTCTGTATTCTACTGTACCACCTGGAGCATCAGGTTTCAACGGTAAATCGTCTGCCAAATATCCACATGCTATAGATACTAATTCATTATCCCATTTTCTGTGAAATATAATGGAGAAATATATCGTTTTATATTGTGTTAATCTGCCTAATTAGCTTATGCTAATTCTGTCTACCCCCGCTACCGCTCATATAATCTATAAGCTGACTATGTCCTTGGCAATGAATAAGTCTAAACCTCATTAACAAATATCAGCGTACTATGGACCAGGATCAGGACCAGGAACCGAGCATGACGTCATTTTCGCCATCTTGGAATTTTGATGGCATATCCAAAATGGAAGTCCGTCAAGTTGTTGATTTCATTAGGTTTAAGTTGATCATTTTAGCAGAATGACAATCGTTTCTGTATGATGAAAATGTTTTCTGTGAGATGAGAAGCGTTTCAGTATGATGAACATATTTTCTGTAGGGTGACAATCCTTCAATAGTTTACGTCCATAATAAAACCAATGTTTAGATCTTCTTAAATCTTACCTGCCAATAAGCTTCTTCATTGCCGTTTTCGCCATGACTGTTGTCGGTGCCATTCCGCCATAGGATAAATAGAGTTCTTTGATGATGTCAGATTCATTTTCAAAAATTACCCTCATACCGGCATTAACTATAGCAATATCATCATCTTTTCTTAGAGCTTGTTTATAACTTTCAAAATATTCATTCTAAAAACAACAATAAAAAAATTCCCTAATGGTTGATAGAGGCAAAGTAAAGATAAACGTCTGGGGACATACAGGGCGATGAACGTTGGCTTGGTGTTAGTGCACTGGGTTAAACATGCTTATAAAAATACAGTTCGAACGATACCACGTAATGATTAAAATTGAAAAAACATTAACGGCCATCATCACATGTCCTGTCTTTCTCATTTAAAGGTAAAATATGATCAAATACGTCATGTATCTAACACGCTTAATGTCATTACATATAGGTTAGGTTGGTAACCTGACCCTTGTTACGAGCAGTTTAAATCTCTTTATATAATGTTTTCTTTATGAGTCGCTCACATTCATGGGTAACGCCAGCATTGAATATGGTTTTATATAGTCAGTGTACCTTGCTAGTAAATGGAATGTTAACAGATGTCAGAATTTCAGCTGGCTTCAGAACAGTTTTTCTGTAACCTCGAAAAAATTCAGAATCCATCATAACTCTTCGGGTGGTTTTACCTAAACAAAAATAAAATACAAGTGAAGGGTGTAACACAAACGGGTTTATTGCTTCGGGTGGTTTTAAATATTTTTATATACAGGGGAAAGGCTGTATTTTTGGCATGTATCCAAAAATTACTATTTTTTAGCGATTCAGCTGTTACATATATTGATTAAATGGCTTTGCATAAAATCCCTCTTCAGAGAAAAAGAACAGCACGTATCCAAAAATTACTATTTTTTTGAGCGATTCAGCTGTTACATATTATATTGATTAAATGGCTTTGCATAAAATCCCTCTTCGGAGAAGAAGAACAGTTGGGGTTCAAACACATCAATTTCTTTCACTAGCCCAGTCGGAGAAAAACCGTAGGGTGTTAAACACATTTCATTTCATTTTACCATAAAATAGCAGTATTAATGAACTACAAGTTTCCATAGTTAATCTGATTTCATTGTTTAAATGGGGTAGGAAATGATCATACAGTGACGATAGAACAAACTGAGTTAACGTAGGTGCAACGTTATTTTAACGTTAACATGTTAACTGGGATAAAACTTGACAAATGAAATGAAAAGAAATGGTGTTTAACTTCCTACTGTTCTGTTCCTATACTGGGCTAATGAAGACGGGCATACGTCATACAGTGTGCTATGGGGGGAATTTTGCCCGGGCAGCGGCACTATCGCCTATCTTATATCGAATTCCAACTGCCAGGGGATCCAATATATACACGAGACCTCGGTTTTTCGTCTCATCCGAAGGACTAGACAGCTGTCCTTGTCGGGCCCTGCGTTCTGCACCACTGACAAGGGGAAACCACGTCGGAAAATCTGGATGAACTTTCTCGGCCAATGCAGGGATCGAACACCCGAAAACTTGACAATATTGCCCTTTAAATGGAATTAGATTGGTGTGTTATTGCGACACTACTGTGTCGACAGTGGAACTCCTAATCGGTTATATATCTCAAAACTGGCTTTATCTATAAACTTAAATACATAGAATCCAAAATAAAATCCAGTATTTCATTATTGATCAGAATCAAAGAGATTTAGCTATTTTAAAACGTAAATGTGGCTAAGCGCCTAGCTAATAGTCGTTTCAGATTTTGTATGATGATCTTAAACTATAATGTATCTAATATTTTATTGATAAGTTAAAGATACATTATGGGAGATAAGATAAAGAGATGGCAGTTCTCGCTATAATAGTTAAAAACTAGATAGTGTAATTTGCTGAAAATTTCAGTCAAATTGATCCACTATGAGCCGAGAACGAAGCGGGTGAAATTTTCGCATAGTCTCGGTCATCATTACTAAAATCATTAATATAAACAGCATAGTCTCGATTATCCACTGTTTTGATTTAATTATCAATGACCGTTAAGCGGCATATAGGAATCTAATCCAGCCAACATCCAAGGCTAGCCTTGACATCTAGAGTTTATTATGGTCTGGATAAGTTAATTAATGTCTAATTGATAATTTAGATAACATTTCAGGCCTAAAGAAAGACTTGTAATAAGCAGATTTTGCTCTTGCATAATGCATGTTTAACCAGTGTGTTGCAGAGACGTGTTCTTAGCAACATGACAACCTTCAGCTTTATGAGTGTATATATTTGTGTAGTTTACATACATTATAGGTAACGGTCCAATTAAAAAAAAACACGACGAATCAACAAATTTTCATTAAAACCTGCATGTGTTAAACCATAAAAAACAACCATGATTTTAATTTATTGTGATGTCTATATTATTAAAGTGCATTTATTTGCCCTCTCGTTTTAGCTTTTGTTGCCATAGGGCGTTGGATTATAGGCCTATCTAAAACACTTTTATATTTGTTATTTAGTACCGGGGAAAAACCCTTCACTTTTGACAGCTTAAGACTTTAATGATATATAGACTGATTGACTATAAATGATTACCTGACGGGTGATCAGCCAATTCTTATTTTTTAATGCTTTCAAAATTAGATCGGCGTTAAAGCAATACTAGATTCTTTTTTACACTCTTAATTTAAAATTTCAACTGCATATTTTAATGTTTATGTATAACTAATTGGGGTTATCTCTCTTGCTTCGAACTTGAATCTTTATCGCAGTCTGAAATCACACTGATCAGTAATGACTATTCGCTATAGTCACTAAGAGGGGAGATGCTAATTGTAGGCCGGTTGGGGAGGTTCGATAATTTCCGGAATAAATTGGTTCCAAGTTCAATCTTCTAAAAAGGGTTAGGATTATGGTTAGTATTGAAGTATTAGAAAAAAAAATAACGGTGTTTTGAAGTAAATCTGGATCAAAATATTTCCTATTTTGTGTAAATGGGTAGATAAAAGGAGTAAAAAAATCATTTGTCTACCAGCACCATGTTGACGTTATGTAGTCCGTGCACGCCCCCCTCGAGTCAATGATCGACGCTGCGCGATATCACGTGTAGAATGCATTTGCAGTCACCTTATCCAGAGTATTGGTCTGAAATATCTCTACATAAACAATATCATGGACCCAACGTCACTGTTCAACTTATTGAATATTGTTGATGCTTTGAATAAAATAAATTTTGTACTGAATGCTGAACTCAATAACAAAGTCACGGTGACAACGACTGTCACCAATTCTGTTTAGCCGACAGAAATTAATTTGGGCATTGTCTTCGTTGTATTGAATGTTTAACTCAATAACATTAAAGATGCCTGTTAGAACTAAATCTGCCTATTGCGGATCTTTCTCTTGGCCTCAAATGCTATATAAATTATTGATTAGACATTAATTAGTCGCATGTCAAGTCCATAATCAACTCTTTAGATTGTCGGATGGTGGTGATTTTAAAAGGATTAAAACACAATCGTCATATAATAATTCAATTCAAAACTGACTAATTGAGATATCGTTTATTATCCATTTGTTTATAAGCGTAACAACGGTAGCAATTGAAATCGAGACTACGCTCAAAATGTCATAATGAAGTAATTTCACTGAAATTTTTAGTATCTATTTCCAAACTATTATAGCCAGAAATGTCAGCTCTTTATCTAAATCTTATATAATGCATGTTTAAAAAAGTCACCGTGACAGACTATACCGCCACCTGTTTAGCCGGAAATAAACCATTTGGACATTAAATTTATTGTGCTTCGAAATTTAGACAGAATCTGTTCCCATTAGAATTTATAGACCAAAAATGATAGATGATGTCATAAACTACTAAATCATTGTGTGAGGGCCCTCTAGCGTTTTTAGTAAAACACTGAGGTATTCTAATTGCACGTGTTTATTATTTGGCAAAGCGATTGGTTATGATTAAATTGTAATTCATTAGGTGTGGAAGTTAAAAAACCTTGTTGGGTCTATCAACCCATAATTTCATTATAGAAAAATTTACCTATTTATGTTTTTGTTTCGAATGATTACATTAAAACTAACAGTAATGACTACAAATTAGGTATACTAGTTTTTTAAGTTTTTTGTTTTTAGTTTTGTTTTCTTAGGATTGGTTGTGTAACGAAGGAGATTCTAATTCATCAAACACAACTTTAAAGGGGAATTATGGGAGATTAGATAAAGCGCTGGCAGTTATCACTATAATAGTTAAAAACTAGATAATGTAAAGGGAATTTGCTGAAAATTTCCGTCAAATTGATCCACTCTGAACCGAGATCTTAGCTTTTGAATTTTAGGCCCAGCCTCGGTCATCATTACTAAAGTCGATACGATAAAAAAAACCATAGTCTCGATTATCCATTTTTGGATTTAATCATCATTTAGCGTTGAGCAGCAGATCGAATTCAAATCCAGCAAATATCGTAGACTAGCGATGAGATCGAGGGTTGATTATGGTCTAGATAAGTTGATTAATGTCTGATTAATAATTTAGATAACATTTTAGGCCTAAAGAAAGACCTGATAGGCAAACTTAGCTCTTGCATAATGTATGTGTAAGGATCGGTATGACTTTTGTCCGAAATGGAATCTTCTACTTTTAAATTTTTGGCAGGACCAATTTTCGGACAATCCATTATAGTACACGTATAACTGATAAAAGAACATCTGATACCACTTCGCAAACACTCTTTTGTTTCACAGTACTTCAGTTCTTTACTAACCTTTTGACACAACTTCTAATTTGGCGCTGCTGGCTTGAAATATAGGATTTAAATCAGAAATAGGACTTGCTGTCATTATATTTCCTCCAACAGCCTAGAAATTATTACAAAACGGGATTTAACAATTGTAAATCTTCTAAAGAAATAATTAAAATGATATATGTTATGACGTACATTTGGAAAATTTCTGTATTCGTGGCTGTATATAAATTATGAAATCTACTATTTATTGTTTGTATTTACATAAACTGCATGAATATCCGGTGTATCAAATATGTGACTTTCTTAACCAAGGATCAATTAATTAAAGGACAATATTGGTGTCAGTCATTATCACACATGTGATAGAACTTGTTAAACACGTTCCGCATATAATTCTAACACGGGGATCATTGCTACGATAGATGCCTAATCAAGGTTTCAACAATTGGAAGTGGCGAACGCCAAAGCAAAACACGAGTTATCCTTCTATATAACTGATTGAAGTGACGAGTGATAACAGATACAGGTGCGAATCTCTGCTCACTAATAATTCCTTCGAAGACCAACAGTTGTTATATGAGACTGTAAGAGGATAGCTGATCATTCAAATAAGTAATCGAATGCCATTAGATAAGAGAACACGAGAAAAATAGAAATAGTCCCTACATTCCCTTGTTTTTATTCATTCTATACTTAATAAAAACATGGTAATGCACGGACTTTTTCTATTTTTCTTTCGTGTTCTCTTATCTAGTGACAGTCAATTCTTTTAATGAATTGTTAGATATCCTTTCATAGTATCACACAACTTTAGGTCCTCGAAGGAATTATTAATGAGCAGAAATTCGCCCATGTATCTGTTATCACTCGTCACTTCAGTCAGTTATATAGGGGGATAACTCGTGTTTTCCTTTTGTGGTCGTCATGCTTCCCTTTCATGAACGCTTCTTTACGCATCTATCGTAGCAATGGTCTCTGTGTTACAATTATATTTGGAACGTGTTTAATTAGTTCTATCACATATGTGATAATGACAGACATCAATATTGTCCTTTAACAGCGAATCTCCCCGGGAGAATGGAATGGAAAGGAGGTTTAACGTCTCATCAACATATATGTCTTATTCTTATGTTTACGTATGCAATGCGGGGATAATTTTGCCAGGACAACGGATTCCATCTGTCATATTTGTTTACGTAGGTTACGTACCGATGTGTCCACGAATGGGCTTTGATTTTTCGTCTCATTCAAACCACTAGGGACACTTGCCTTGTCAGATCCACACCTTAAAAGTGAAAACGGGCTTGAAAAATCCGAACGATATTTTTAGCCGCACCGCGTCATTTGGGTAAGTCTACAAATTAAAGTAATTGATTATCTTTAAAAAAAAAAAGTGACTTATCTGGGTTTTCTTTTACTATGGCAGATCACATAATGTTTAGTATTAATATGCTATTAACTTGATTGTAAATAGTACACACTAGTTTAGCTTTTAGATAAAAAACGACTTACAGCAGTATTTCTTATTTGTTTACCAGCAAACCATTTTAACATTTCAATAACAGCTGTAAATATTCTACATCTGGATTCTGAAATAATACAATCATTTACTTTATTTCACATCCCATTATTTTATTGGTATTTCAGCCATAAGATGACATTTTATAACTGCATTTTTGGACCATTAATTGGGTCCCAATTGCGCATCGGTTGGGTTGACGTCAAAATTCCAAGATGGCTGCAATGACGTCACACTCGGTCCCTAGTTCAGAGTAAGCTCGTGTTTCTTTTTTTAAAGCGGCATTAGGTAAGATCAGATAAAGAGCTAAAATTGTTCGCTATAATAGCTAAAAAATAGATAATGAAACTAGAAAATGCTGAAAATTTAAGTCAAATTACTTTACTCTGAGCTAAGCTATCGGTGATTCAATAATTAGTCTAGTCTCGACTGTCATTACTACCGCTGTTACGATAATAAACAAAGTCTCTATTATCCATCTTTTGGTATTCAACACGTATTCAAATCTACTAAATATCAGAGCCATCAGATGGTATCGAGAGTTGATTACGGTCTTGGTAAATTAAAGATACATTATGGGAGACGAGATAAAGACCTGATTAGTTCTCACTATAATAGTTAAAAACTAGATAATGTAAAGGGTATTTGCTGATCCACTCTGAACAAGAATTTAGCGATTGAATTTTCGGCCTAGCCTCGATCATAATTACTAAAGTCTCGATTATCCATTTCATGGTTTAATCATGAATGAAAGTTCAGCAGCAAATCGGATCCTAATCCAGTAATTATCGCAGGCTAGCGGTGACATTGAGAGTTGATTATAGTCTGGATAAGTTAATTATTGTCTAATTAATAATTTAGATATTATTTCAGGCCTAAAGACAGGCCTGCAATAGGCAGATTTAGCTCTTGCATAATGTATGTTTAATTAATGTCTAATTAATAATTTATATAAGACTTTGGGTCAAAAGAAAGATCTGCAACATGCAGATTAAGCTCTTGCATAATGCATGTTTAATCTGCGATGAATTAAATTATGATAGTTCATGCTTGGTAGATTTTAGTACGTGCTGCGCTTTTAGATTTGTCAATTTCCAATGCAAATATATTCTTTATGGCCTTTAAATGTGCATGGCGTTTAGTAACCTGTTTAATTGCAATTAAAGTGTTTTAGTCGAAAATGTACATGCTTGCACCCTTAAAATTGGACACAACGTGGATTTAAATGTAGCCCAACGCTTCAACCCTAACAGTTTCTATTACCTGGCAAATCTTCCTTAGCCTTTTCAAGAACTTCTTCTACTTTAGACAATGTAACAGAGGCACCAAATTTAATTCCATCTTCAGTAGATTTTATATCTGTTAATTCAGGTACATGACTGGCGTTGATTAATACTGAATACTTCATATTTTTAAACCTAGATTCTATACCTAGAACACAAAAGACATGGTTAAGTAGAAAATTCGCTTATTATATCTTTATGAATAATAGCAAAGTTTGATAGTTCAGATATAACACTCTAAAAGTTACTTAATAAGGATGAATATTCTTCTTATTATTATTTTTTTTTCTTTTTCCATTTGTTGCATCGTTACGGTGTCTTCAGTTTTACTGACAAAGTGGGTGTGACTACAATGACAGACATGAATCGAAAGAAACAGACTAAAAGTTTGGTTATTTTGAACCCAAATAAAATTCTTTCTCTTTCTGTTTTGTTAGCTTTTTTTTCTCATTTTCTAATAAAAAAACGTTATCAAAAGAAAAAAAAAACAAACATAGTATATAGTTCGCATATCATTAAAAGTTCATATTTACAGTGAGTATAATAATAATAATAATAATAAAAACTTTATTTAATGAGGCAACGTATTTAGTTTGCAAAAAAAAAAACTAATCTTCCATAGGTCCCTCCTAAACTACAAAGACATATATACATGTAATATCAGGATAAATTTAAAATCATTAGAAATGCAATAGCATTTTAAAGTGGGAAGTTTGATAAGTCACTCCCAAACTACAAAACATATACATTATACAAGTAGAATATAGGAAGAACACTATAATTACACACAAAATAAAATAGAATGCAGTTGCAAGTTAAAAATAATAAGTATGTCATCAGCTGAATATTATGGTTCCTTCAGTGTGCAAAATAAATGAGTTTTCAGTTTAATCTTAAAATTTTCAACATTTTTACACATCTTTATATCAAAAGGCAGATTGTTCCATAAAAGACATGCAGAATAATGAAAAGTACGTTTCATGGATTCCGTTTTGCATTTTTGAAGAAAAAGAGATTTACTGGTCTGTGAACGGAGCAAGATATCCGTTTTAGAAACAAGAGATTTTTCAATAAAATGGAAATTTAGATAAAGTGGAGTATTAAATGTAATAATTTTGAATGATAAGACAATTTTATTGTAAAGAATCCTCTGTGTAAGGGTAAGCCAACCGAGTTTAGTAAATAAAGAGGTGGACGGAGTTTCAATCGGTGCATCAAGAATAGCTCTTGCTGCCCTCTTTTGTAATTTTAAAAGAATGTCTAATCTACTTTTGGTAGCATTTCCCCAAATAATAGAGCAATAATCAAATATTGGTAGTATGTAACTGTTATAAAACAAAATTCTTGTCTCGTAAGGTAAATGATCTTTTATCTTATTTAGGAGAAATATTTTTGATGCAAGTTTTTTAGACATATCTGCTATCTGTGCTTCCCAATTAAGGTCTTGGTCAATTTGAATTCCAAGTAATTTTGCGGTAGTAACCGTCTCAATTTTCTCACCATGGAGTGATAAAGTTAGGTTTTTCTGATTTCTTTTGTGTTTTGTTGAAATCAGCATTGATTTTGTTTTCGAAGGATTGATTACCATCCCATTGTTTTCACACTATTTAGCAACCAAATAGAGATCATTTTGGAGATTTTTGGCGATGGATAAAATATCTTTGTGTGAAGAATGCAGGGTACTGTCATCAGCAAACAAATCTATCTGACTTGATTCAATATTGAGTGGGAGATCATTTATAAAAATTAGGAATAGGAGAGGACCCAGGATCGAACCTTGTGGAACCCCGCATTTGACTGTAGTAATTGAGGAGGTAATTGATCCTAAACATACTTTTTGCTTCCGTGAGTCAAGATATGATTCAATCAAAATTTGTGAATTATTATCAAATCGATAAAGATGTAGTTTTTCAATAATAAGCTTATGATCAATGAGATCAAATGCTTTGCTAAAATCAAGATACACTATACCACTCATCGCACCATTATCGATAGCATCAAGCCAATTATCTGTCATTCGGATCAGTGCAGTAGCACATGAATGATTTGATCTAAATCCAGATTGGTAAGCATAAAGAACATTGAAGGTTTCCAAATAAGTTTGAATTTGAGTGCTCAAGTGCCTTTCGAATATTTTTGAAATTGTGGGGAGAATTGAGATTGGCCTATAATTGTTCGGATCATCTTTAGCTCCCTTCTTATGTATAGGAATAATTTTAGCCAGTTTAAGGGCACTGGGGAACATGTTTTGAGAAATACAAAGATTAATGATATATGTCAAACTGCTACAAATTGTATAGGCAGACAATTTTAAAATTTTGGGTCCAATACCATCACACCCAATTGCTTTGTTACTATTTAAACTCAATAAATGTTTTAATACCTCTGTGGTAGTAATACAATTAATAGAAAAGTTGTTATTTGGGGGAATCTTATCATTTACGTAATCTGATATCTTTCGTTTGCACTCTTGAGAAAGTGGTGTATAGGGGGGCTTAATGTCATCAGTTAAATTAGTGAAGTAATCATTCATCACATTAGCAATAGCATTTAGATCATTAACTGTTGTTTTTCCATATTTAATACTATTGGGATAAGGGCAATTATTGGGTTTATTCTGTATGTCACTAAAATATCTCCATATGTTTTTAGATTGCTCTTCATTTTCGATAGAGTCCTTGATAAAGTTTTTTTTGGCTTTATTAATGAGATTTTTGGTTTTATTTCTCCATATTCTATAGTCGTCATACCTCTTGGAGGCTTTAAAGAAGTCCCTGAACTTTCGGGCTTTATTTATTTCCTCATTAAACCACTTCGGTTGATAGTATCTTTTTACTCTTTTTCGCTTTTGCGGAGCATGGCAGTCTAAAACACCTATAAAAAGGTTATACCAAGTATCAAGGGCAGAATTTGGGTCATCAATTGACTCGACTAGTTCAAATGGAATTTTAGCAAGATCATTAATAAAATTAGAATCATCAAAGTTTTTGTAATTTCTGTATAGAATTTCCAAGTGGTTGTGTTTTGTGATTTTTCTCTTGCAGTTTCCAATGATAAAAATAATCGGAAAATGGTCACTAATACCATATTGAGGAACTTTAATTTCAACAATATTATCCGGTGTGTTTGTATATAGATGGTCAATGACAGTAGAAGAATTTTTAAAACAGCGTGTAGGGGCAGTAATTAATTGATGTAATCCCTGCATATTGATTATGTTTTCCCATCGTTTTGGAACAGTAGTTGAATAATCTATATTAAAATCTCCTATTACATAAATAGATTGACCAGTATTTATGGAATTTAAACTAGTTTCAAAATCATCAAACCAACCTGTACACGAAGAAGGTGGTCTATATACAAGACATAATAAAAATGATTTTTCATATTCGAGTAACAATAAATATTAACTCTATAACATTAACCATAACAAAATAGAATGGCGTCCTCCGAAACATGATCAAATCTAATGCTTCCTTTTCCATGACGACTTGGTCATGAATTAAAAGCTGAATATTTTGATGAATAATTTGGATTGGCCTGTTTTTAGAAATATATAATTGTTAACGGGGTGGTTTTCGTTACTAATCCTCACAAGTCAAGGTAGTTCTTTCTACAAGTTGATTCCGGGTGTGCTGTTTTTCGAATTATCAAAACGCATAGTTTTATGTCTATTCGTCTGGTTTAATTTAACAGTTTGCTTTTTAAGAACACTGGGATAAGGCTGGTTTATCTCTCACCTTACCTAACACTTATCAGGCCGCTACAATATTAACTTTGTTTCTTCTACAAATTAAATTTTATCAAATTTGTTTAAAGCATTAGAAAAAAAGGTGTTTGAAGTATATGTGAATAAAAAATATTTCCTACATAGTGTAAATGGGAATATATATAAAATGAGTAAAAAGCATCATTCTGCCCGGAACAATCCAATGATTGACGCTGCTCGATGCTATGTCACGTGTAGAATTCGTTTGAAAGTTCGTCATCTTTTACAGAGGTATAAGAAGCTTTCGCAATACCTCTGTGAAACAGGTTGACCTTACTCGTCAAATATCCTACTTGTCTTTTTTTTTTCAAAAAAAGTACCAAATGGCTATATGTTTTTGCAAATCAAAATGTAGCACGTCTCAACGAATTTTGATTTATTTGTGTGTGAGACAATGCACGTATAAAGTTTATCTATAACAAAAGATTAAATGCTTATTTACAATTGTGCAATTTGATGACCTTAATACAAATGGACAACAGCAACCCCACGTTTTATTTTGTAATTGTATATTAATCAACGTTTGGTATAGGATATATGATATGTGTGGCATATGATATAGGATATGTGTGGTAAAGAATCTGTGTGTTAAAGGAAATGTGATAGGATAATATGTTGTGTAGGATATGTGTGATATGATAATGTGTGATAGGATATATGTGGTATAGGATATATGTGTAGTATAGGATATGTGTGATAGGATATGTGTGGTATAGGATGTAGTATAGGATATGTGCGATAGGATATGTATATGTCTTGTAGGATATGTGTGATATATATGCTTAATTTGGATTGAACATCCTTAACCGGAAGTTATACAGATAACAAACTGTTTTGTTGTTTGGTACAAACAAACCTATTGGGGTTATTATTACTACCCGTCTTTGTAGTGTATTTTTAAACAATTTTTTCATTCAGAAATTTAAAGGGATTGGGGAACTGGCATAGCCTGCATGACCTCTCCTGTGTTGTATAGCATTATCAAATAGTTAATTTTAAAGATGTAATTTCTCTATGTGATTCAACACGAGTTGGCCTCAAATCAAATCTGCGTATGCTATTCTGGGTTATTTCAGAGATTCCTCTAAACAAGAAAACATTCACGGTAATTGTTACACAATGGCAGATGTTATAGATACGTTATTGTGCCATCTTGACACATGAAAGCGGAATTGATAAAAATATCCTTATGTCGGCTATTGATAGCTGGTCTTGTTTATGTAATGTCCTTTGTGTTGTAAAGTAATTTTTGCAGAAAGCCTATCTATAGCATTATCTATAGCCTATTTATAGCCAGCTGTGTAATCACCTTGGCATCTGACAAGGTCCAAGGGTATAAAGAAGAGATCAGGGAGTAAAAAGGTGAACTTGGGACCAGTCAGGTGTCACGTTAAGATAGGAGAGGGGCCATGTAAGTTAGTTGGGAGTTCGCACCCATGGCTCCCCCAACTCAAGCTAATTACAAAGTCTTTAACTATAAGAAGTTTTGTACTTGATATGTTGGGATGTGTCTATGATATCACCCTTGGTGGAAGTGAACGTACAACTCCAGGAACGAACGAACGAATATGTTTGAAGAACAAAAAAAGTACCAATGAACCAATACTGTAACATAATATAATTATCAATTAACCAGACGTGTCACCCCAAATTACCTTGACCCTAAGTTCATCTAATATTATGTTCTGCTACCGTATTGCAAGAATCGTGAATAAACGCACTAAATCCAAGAAACAAAGCAACAGTACACTGTCAGTATATAGCATAATTTAATAAATGATTTGATTTTTTTATCTAAATTAATAATAGGTATGGCAAAGAATGTTGTTCATGATTAATTTTTTCTAATTAAAATCAATTTTAGCCGTAACCTTAACAATATGACTCGGACTGTTTGCGGGTTTGGTTGTTTTGTTTTTTTTTTGGGGGGGGGGGCGTTTTTTTTTTTTTTTTTTTTTTGTTGCTGTTGTTTTATTGGTGGTGTTTTTATTTGTAAGGGGAGGAAGAGGGATAAATAAAAACACCATCACCATTCTTTGATATATAGTTTTGTGGGATGAAAGAGTAATCAGTTCATCCTTGATGTCGAAACATAACAGAAATTTGGTTTTATAAGTGTTGTGTAATTAAGAAATACACTTCGTCATATCTTTAAATACAAACACCGTCGCCACGCCTTTGGTATGATTTTGGCTGTGTGTGAGTGGGTGCAACTGTGTCACGAGAATATATAGCCTTGACAGCATATATTTTGCACTTGTAGTCGACTACTGGTACAATCTGATTAAAACACAGATCCTATTTCGTTTCGTTTTTTCTAGTACAAAATTTCTTTTTACCTGTCTTTACTACATTGGGATCTGTTTGAAGTGAGGGATTAGCCAATGAAATTGTCTGTTACAGCGACTTCTTGGCGTGTCATGCACGGAACTGTGGGTAAACCACTAGAAACGCTGATTGATTAATTAGTGTCTGGCGTCATGGGGACAAAACCGCACGTACGACCCCCGACACAACCTTCTAGTACAACTTGTCAGATCTTCATGTAGTGTAGGCCATCGAAAGTATAAAAAAACGAAACGAAATATAGATCTGTATTTTAATCAGACTTCTACTGACAATAATAATCGAATTATATAAAACATTGACATGGCGGATCCAGGTGTGTGTGTGTGTGGGGGGGGGGGGCTTACCCCCACCACCTTTTATGGAGCAGCATAAAGAAATTCACTGATTATTCTGTTACTATGAAACATGTAAATTTCCGCTTTTTGTTGGTTTGGGTGATGGCAAGTTTCCAAACACCATTTACACCACAATTTTATCAAATGTACTTGGAGGCAGTCCCTCTCCCGCACGTTGAATCTTATCACAATGTCAATATACCACATGCTTTTTATTTTATACACTATTCAATGAATATATATTTACATTACACGTAATATCTTGACCCTAATAGACTAGAGTCACGTTAAAGTAGTTATTTGTGAACTCTACAAGGTCTACACGTTTTGAATGGCCTCGTGACTTGGTTGACGATTATACAGTATGATTTTGTTGATTTTGTTGATAACAAAACCACAAACGTGTGTTATTTTAAATTTAACGCGGTATCACTTTGAGTGAAGCAAACTTTAAATCCTATTTATAATCATTCATGTACTGCTGAATTCCTGCTACCATATCATTCACTCCTTGTGGTCATTCCAAGCTACACTTTAGTAACTTTTATAAACCTATAACGGTAAATCTCTTTGATCTTTGGGATATATTCTATGCCCGGAATAACCTGCGGTCTGAAAGTTGCGGGGCGGCTTTGAATATATAAAATTCTTATGAAAGTTTTTTATATGCCCACATTTTCATGTGGACGTATATTGTCGTCGCCCCTGTCCGCCCGTGTGTCCGTTCACAATTTGTTTGTGGACACTCTGCAGGTCACAATTCTTAACCGATATTGACGAAACTTGAAATATAGGTTTATCTCCAAAAGATCCGGTTCCCTCCGATATTGGCATGTATCGGATCGAAACTTCATAGATTATGGAACATGAGTGTACGAAAAATCACGTTTTTAGCTTGTGGACACTCTTTTTATCCGATTTTGAAGAAACTTGAAATGTAGGTTTATAGCTCAAAGATCTGGTTGCCTTTCGATATTCGGGGATATCGGACCGAAACGATTTTTCGTGAAAATTGGACCAAAACTGCCAGACGAAATGGCCGCTCTACGCACTAAAATAGTGTTAAAATATGTAATATCAATGTTGTGAACATTCTAAAGGTCACAATTTTGATGAAATTTAAAACATGTGTTTATGTCCCACAGATCTCGGTTCTTTAGTATTACATGTACCTACATTTACACTATTTGAGTACAAGGAGCGGTCATTTTGTCGGGCAATTTCGGTCTGATTTTCACGAAATTTAAACCGAACAGTCATTAAGTTGTAAAACTGTAATATATAGACGTTAACCTTTCAATCTGAGACACCTTCTCTGAAACAGCTCAATCTAAATTAATCACATTTTTAAGACGTTTTCGAACACATTTCCATTTCATCTCAATCATGTAATGAAAAGGGTGTGGTGTATTTAGTTAGGTAGTTTTCACTTAAGACGAGTAAAATCTTACCGACTTCAGTGTTGCCTATAATAATCTTAGAATCCGGATATTCTTCTTTTAATTCTAATAAATCAGTTAAAGTTACTGGGCGATACCATTTCACTTGATTAGTTTCAAACATCAGTCGTTTCTCATTATACTCTTTATAGTTAACCTGGATGTAATAATATGAAAATTAGTTCCAAAAGCAGCTTTATTTTATATACCCCGTTTATCCTAAAGTTTCTTGTTGTCTAGGGCTACTATTATTACTGTATACTGTTCAGTTCAAAAAATCTGTCAGCATGGTTGCTATCGTAGGGACATAACTTGAAGTTTTATAGCATGGTTGCTATAGTATAAACATAATCAGATATATACCATGGTTGCTATGGTATATACACATACCTAGATGCTTTATAACATGAATGCCATGGTATACACAAAATCACATAGGCTATACAAAATTATATAGTTTATATTATTGTTATAGTTCATATTTCAAACCATTAGCATTATTACATAATTCCTTTAAATTAGGTATTGCCAAATGTAGAGAGAGAGAGAGAGAGAGAGAGAGAGAGAGAGAGAGAGAGAGAGAGAGAGAGAGAGAAAGAAATGGGGTTAAACGTCCACTCGACACAAACTAGGTCATTTCGGGACTAACATATGGTTTAATTTTATTTCAATAATTCGCTTGCGCATAGGGGTCTTTAGCAGTGGGAGGAAACCGGAGGACCCGGAGAAAACCCACGAGGTTGGACAGGCGACCCTACTCCTTGTCACGTACAACCGGGGATTCGAAACCACGCCAGTCGACTCAATGACAGACTTTATGATACAGCGCGCGCACGCTAACCATTCAGCCATCCAACCCCCCCCCCCCTGCCAAATGTACTTAAGGTCTTGAAATTAAATTATAATTAACAAAACATATCTTGCATTTAAATACTAATTACCAACACATGTCTTTAAATTGGATAATACCAAACACATATATTGCAATTACATAATAATTACCAACACATATCTTGAAATTAAAATAATAATTACTGACACATATCTTGAAATTATATAATAATCATATCGCTTTTAATGTGTTTAATTTATGTATCTACTATTGACAGTCTTCAGTCATGTGTCTTTTATCGTTATGTAATTAGTTCGCATCACATTGTAAGCCGTAAATAAGTTTTAAGTACAGATGTAACTGATTGAGTATACGGGGATCACGTGGCTATGTGGGTAAGACGCTAGCTCGCTAGCCTGGAGGTCGGGTGTTCGATCCCTGCACTGGCCGAGAAAGTTCATCCAGCTTTTCCGGCGTGGTTCTCCCTTGTCAGTGATGCAGGACGGAGGGACTGACAAGGAAAGCTGTCTAGTCGTTCGGATGGGACGAAAAACCGAGGTCCCGTGTACACATTGGCGTGCACGTAAAAGATCCCTTGGCAGTTGGAATTCGATATAAGAGTAGGCCGTAGTGCCGCTGTCCGGGCAAAATTTCCCTCATAGCACACTGTATGGCGTATGCCCGTCTTCATTAGCCCAGGTTAGGAGCAGAACAGTAGGACGTTAAACTCCATTTCATTTCATTTCATGATTGAGTATACACAACATCTGTCATATTCAAATATTAAGACTTAATCTTGACTTATATTTAGTTTCCGTGCGTCACTATTACGCATTTGTATTATTTATATTTGTCATTTTCATGCATAATAATTACGATTTATTGCCTTAATTTATATCAAGTATAATTACATGTGTAATTTGTTTTATTTCCTAGTAAGTGGAAATATTCAATAATATTATGTTGTATTTAGGACATATAGATTAAAATTTCTAGTACTAATGATTAAAGAATATTTCTATTATACAATTATTTGCATTCTATGACTTGTACGTGTCCGTCCTTGTCCAGAATAAATCACAAGTATCAAGGTTACATCAATATATTTCTTGAAGACGATTCCTGCAGTGTTGTTGTGAGACCATTGTAGCTGAAAAATGTTTAGACCTACATCACAGCTCGTTGTACGAATCATGGCCATATTACACAAACATTATGGTTCAATTTTATTTCAATAATTCGCTTACGCGTGGTGGTAATTTTAGCAGTTGGGGGAAACTGAAGGACCCGGAGAAAACAAGCGAATACACAAAAGGACGTGTTTATTAGCATTACTGTCATGGTATACACAAAATCACATATTGCTGTGTTATTGAAAGAAAACTAACCTTTAAATCAGGTGGAAATATTGGTTCTTGTGTAGGATCATAAGGCGGAATATAATTTTCATTCTATCAGAAATACAAATAAGATTACAGTATTGTAAAATGTTCCATCAGAATATAATAAAGTCAAAACATCGAATGGAATGAGATTTAACGTTAAATTTTCATGGATGTCACCTTTTAGATGTTAACAGTTTCCCATTGTTACGTGTGCAGTATGGAAGGGGGTTAGGGGTCCGGCTATTCTTCTTGGAATTCCAATGCCAAGGGATCCTTTACGTGCCTATAATTGTGCTAGGGACCTAATTACATCACACAAGTAAACCGTCGATAGTTCAGTGGCCTTGCAGTGCATTCTAGTAAAGGTATTGACAAGTTAATAAATTTTACCCCGATAGCCGTATGACGTTTTTCTAACGCTTGAATATCGTACGGGTTTATGTACATTACCCCTTTTCTTGTATCGATATTATTCTTCAAAATCATTATTTCAAATATAGCCAGTGACTTTTCGATCCACGAAGGACATGGGCCAAGAATCTCTAGAAACGTTAGTTGAACGTTTTACTAAAGTATTTATTTTATCTTACTTCTTTGTTACTATTGTCGTCTTCTTTGTCCCTTGGTTTGTTTTTACAGCACTGTTCTCCCATACCACAACTTTCCTACATTACATTATAATAAAATATGAAAAAGAAAAACACGGGAAAAACTATCAGATTTTAAAAACAATTGCTGTTCACGTGAATTGTAGGAATAGCTGGTTAAATTTTACGTATTTTTTTATAAGCAGTATTTTATTCAGATTTTTATCTGAATATGGAATGGGGAACAGGCATAGCCTATATTAAACCCCTCTCCCTGTTAGATATAGATACATGTATTTACATTTTAGAAATTAATAATCAATGTACACGTGCAAGTATGATTATAGTGAGAATATATTTACAATGAAGAGTGTTTATAGTTGTCCCTGGAACCGTCTGGTGATTTCGAAAAACCAATGGACAGTTTTAAAAATATTGAGTGTGTCTTCCACTCAATAAATTAGTACAATATAAAAGGGCGATAAAAATTGGTTAGCCTTGTGAGCTCCTCAAATGAGAAGTCGTATGATAAAACTTGTTACTCTAATGATAACTGGTTATACTTTCATGTTACTCTAATACTAACTGGTTATACTTTCATGTTACTCGAATGATCTATTATGATAACTTTTTATACTTCCATGCTACTTGAATGATAGATTATGATAACTTGTTATACTTTCATGCTACTCGAATGATCTATTATGATCATGTTACTGTTATGATAACTTGCTGTGCTTTCATGTGATTCTTAAGACATTTATGTGCTATACTTTCATGTTACTCTAATGATAACTGCTATACTTTCATGTTACTCTAATGATAACTGGTTATACTTTCATGTTACTCTAATGATAACTGGTTATACTTTCATGTTACTCTAATGATAACTGCTATACTTTCATGTTACTCTAATGATAACTGCTATACTTTCATGTTACTCTAATGATAACTGGTTATACTTTCATGTTACTCGAATGATCTATTATAACTTTTTATACTTCCATGCTACTTGAATGATAGATTATGATAACTTGTTATACCTTCATGCTACTCGAATGATCTATTATGATCATGTTACTGTTATGATAACTTGCTATGCTTTCATGTGATTCTTAAGACATTTATGTGCTTTATTAATAGATCGGAGAGAGGGGGGGGGGGTATGTATGCTTTTATGCTAAATCAATGTTTACCTTAGAAAATACACCGTAACCTTGTAATATCGGCCTATATCCTGTACATCTACACAAATTTCCTACAAGGTATTAGCAAAAAACTTTATTTATAATTATTTTCAGTAGACCAATTCAAAACCAGTCCAACTCTATACATTAAAACAGTTAATGTCATTATTACTCAGAATTATTTTCAGTAGGCGAAAATGTAATCGAGTATGCCAAATCTTAAAAGTTCATATAGCTAGAAATTTTAATATCAACACATAACCTAAATTCTCCGGGTAACTGACTTAACAACAAAAATAACACTGTTTGGGGTGCATTTAATTACGAAAAACTAAATTCTGATGTGTCTAATATCAATTTTAATATTGGAAATACGAGACACTACTGAAATATATCTTGTATCATAAAGTAACTTACCTTCTAGGTATTTTTCTATCTGTAACATCGTAGGTTGTGGATTATTCCTTAACAAAGTGTACATAGACATAACCATGCCAGGTGTACAAAAACCACATTGTGATCCATGACTTTTAGCTATCTGTTCCTATAAATGTGATGAAAGACGTTTAGCCATTTGTTTTCACAAATCAGTATGTATATTTTGTTTCTGGAGATGCAGATAAAATATATAAAATCGATGTGAATTTAGCCATCAGTTCTTATAAATACATGTATAGATAAATATATAATGATAATGTAATTTAACCTTGTTTTGCCAATTATACAGACTCGCTAGTCTGTACTATGGATGTAATATTTTATTACATGTAACTGTACTGTGTATGACTGGATGTAATCTTATATATTTTCTATACCGCTCCTGCACTGGATGTAATGCGTAGTATAATTATATACTAGTGTTATATCTTACCTGTACGGGATGTAATCTTGTAATATATAATTATATACTAGTGTTATATTGTACATGTACTAGATGTAATCTTGTAATATATAATTATATACTAGTGTTATATTGTACATGTACTGGATGTAATCTTGTAATATATAATTATATACTAGTGTTATATTGTACATCTACTGGATATAATCGTGTATTATAATTATCTAATAGTATATGAAATCTCGTATTATAACTATCTAATAATGTTCTACCGTACCTGTACTGGGTGTAATCGTGTACTATTATATAATAGTGCTATACCGTACCTGTACTGTATGTAATCTTGTACTGTATGTAATCTTGTACTGTATGTAATCTTGTACTGTATGTAATCTTGTACACTCAGACAAATTAAAAACTTGACACTGATGAATTTCAACAATTTTTTTTTTCTGGTAAGTCAAATAAATTTTAAAGTGTTTCTAACGATAGTAAGTAGTAAGAAGCCTTTAATTTCATAAAATTGTAAAGTCACGTGGATCACGTGACTTTTGAGCATATAAAGATGAAAAACCTGAAAAACACGTGCAAACACAAACTCGTGAGGTCAATCGATGCAAGTTTGCTTAAACTGAACACGCACACGTAACTTGAACTGGAAAAACAAATTAAAATTGTTATTTTCATCTTTGTTAGAAAATGCCGCGCCTTTCAAATGTAGAACGTCTACGTGCTATAGGTAGGCTCTATGCTGGTCAGTCTGTGGTCACTGTTGCAAGAGCCTTTAATTGTTCACGCCAGACAATAATTAATCTTAGAATGAGAGTGCTTCAAACTGGAACTATTGCCGACCGCCCAAGGGTGGGAGCGCCACGTGTGACGTCACTCCAGGAAGATCAAGCAATACGATTACGTCATCTTAGAAACAGATTTGTCACTGCAACCTCCACAAGTAGAGAGATGTTTGGTGGAAGGGTAACTGCGCAAACTGTTCGAAATCGCTTGCAGGCTGCTGGTCTTCGAGCTCGGAGGCCCTATAATGGACCAATATTGACACCTCTTCATCGCCGTAACCGACTTGTGTGGGCCACAAGACACATAAGATTTACTCAAAGACAGTGGAATTCGGTTGTCTTTAGTGACGAATCTCGATTCACTTTGAGATTTGCCGATGGCAGGGTCCGAGTGTACCGCAGACGAGGTGAACGTTACGCTCAAGTATGCGTCAGAGAGGTTGACCGATTTGGTGGCGGCAGCGTCATGGTTTGGGTTTCTTTTTGTGCACATGGACGTTCTCCTCTTGTTGTTGTCCAAGGGAACTTAAATGCTGTCCAGTACAGGGATCAGATTTTACAACCTGTTCTTCTTCCGTTTATGCGGAGACATGGGCCTGGACTAAGGTTTCAACAAGACAATGCTCGACCCCATACAGCAATTGCTACCCAGAATTTTTTAAGAAATGCCGGTGTCCAAGTCCTGGATTGGCCGTCGCTTAACCCCGACCTTAATCCTATTGAACACATCTGGAACGAACTGGGTCGACGTGTTCTGCAGCAAGTGAATCCACCACTGACGTTGCAGGACCTTCAACATTCTCTTGCTGAGCGGTGGCGACGTCTTCCTCGGGTAGTGTTTACTAATGTTCTGAGATCCATGAGAAGACGTTGTGTGGCAGTACGAGACGCTAGAGGAGGCCACAACCGTTACTAAACACTTTATTGCGATTGTTCTCCAAGTCTGTGAATTTCATTTTGGGGGGTACTGTGACATCACGAACGTTATCATTGTCAAGGACTTTCGGCTAGACGTATTCTTGCTTTCTGTTGATGTCAAGGTCGTATGTGCACAACATAACACTAAAATAGTTGCCTTAAACCAAATATACTATTCAAAAAAAGTAGGGGATATTTGATTTTGGGGGCATAATACTAAAATATGCAAATGACTACGAAAAAAGTCACTATAGAACCTAACAGAAGAAACATTTCCAGTTACATGTGACGCCCAAACGCATTTTGATATGCGTCGGCTTACCCAAAATGAAAGGTTACGTGCCCTTGGCATGCTACAGATCGGCACAACACAGGCGGTTGTGGCGCGGACGATGAATGTTTCTCGGTCTGTCATAAGCAGGCTATGGTCCAGATACCGTGATACACAATCTGTACAGGACAGACCACGCTCAGGTCGACCAAGGGCGACAACTCAAGCCCAGGATCGATTTATCCGTACTTTGGCCTTGAGAAATCGTGTCATCACAGCAAATCAGATCAGCGCTCGTCTTCAAACAGACACTGGTGTGAGAGTGAGTGGCCAGTCGATTCGGAATCGACTGCATAGGGGTCACCTTCGCGCCCGACGTCCTCGCGTGATCCCTTGTTTGAGAGATCATCACATTCAGGCAAGACGTCGTTGGTGTAGGGATCGTCAACACTGGGATAATCGACGCTGGAGCAATGTGATGTTTTCAGATGAGTCAAGGTTCACTGGTTTTTTTTTGGACAGACGTAGGAGGGTGTGGCGTCGTCGAAACGAGCGCTTCCAAGACGTTAACGTCATCAGACATGATCGATTTGGGGGTGGTTCTGTTATGGTGTGGGGAGGCATCACTGTTGCTGGAAGAACATGGCCGCCGTTTCATCTTCCAGGATGACAACGCAAGATGTCACAGGGCCAGGATCGTTACAGGTTACCTCCAACAACAGAACATCACAACATTACCTTGGCCAGCACTGAGTCCCGACCTCTCCCCCATCGAGCATGTCTGGGACATGCTTGGAAAGAGGTTACGTCAACGTCAACAACGTCCTGCCAATGTCCAAGAACTTGCTGCTGCGTTGCAACAGGAATGGGACAATCTGGACCAAAATGACCTTAGACGTCTCATTAGGAGTATGCCACGTCGGACCAATGCTTGTTTGGCAAACAGAGGAGGATTTACCCGTTACTGACTTGGTTGTGATGCTGTGGTAACTTTGCTGTTTGACCCCGGGTATCATTTTACCCTTATAATGGTCAGTCTGTGCCTTACTTAGTCTAACGATCATTTGGAATAAATCGATGAATGTGAACTTCATTTCATTTTGTCATTTGTTTCTTCGTCAGTTTCATTAGGTGACTTTAATAACAAATCAAATATCCCCTACTTTTTTTGAATAGTATATTAAAAATCTAGTCCCAAAAATCCCGAGTGTCAAGTTTTTAATTTGGCTGAGTATACTATAATTATATACTAGTATATAATAATTGTATATCGTACCTGTACTGGATGTAATCTTGTACGAAGACTACCAATACCTTCAGTAGTTGTAACAGCTAAACCATGTACAGCACAAACGGGTGTTAAACACGCGTTTACTGAATAATGTCTTTACAAATATAAGAAATATAAAATGTAACTTTTAATGATAGTATTGATAAAAATGTAATGTTTCGTAATTGTAACATTTTTTTGTATTTTGGGATAGATGTATTGAACTAAATAATGATGGCATGTTCAATACTTCAAGATAGATTTAGTATATCTATACGTTGTTATGAGATATCTTATTTTAGTGCATGTGGCGAATGAATGTTGCGTTTCGCCATTTAATACAAGGGTTTTAAATAATGAAGATAGTTTTGAAATCATTCAATTGGGATCTAGATTTAAACTAGAGGCCCATTGTGGGTGGGCGTGGGGGGCGGGGTCCATCAAGTGGGCACAAAACCAAACCTAACTTTTCTATAGCAAAATGTTGCGTAGAATACGTTGCCCACGCACACCCCACTGAGCCTCTAGTCTAATTGCTTTTAATTACCACAACTGATTCATTCACAATGTGCGCATTCGAAACCTAAACATATTTTATAGTAGTATTGTAACCAGGTAATGAGAGATTATAACTGTTTATTTGAGTTGTTGAATTTTATTATGATTATACAGATTTGTAGATATTTGGTGTATCGTGTTTATTTTAGAAGTTATGGACATGGTGTGAAATCATGTTTTATATGATAGGACAATGTGTCTTGATTTGTCTCGCATTTAATATCGTTTGCGTTCATCATTTGTTTTTATATTATTATTGATGTTATTAATAAATTAAGATTTGGCTGGATTTTTATTTTTATTTTTTCAAAAAAAGGATACCGAATTGTGTGGTTTTTATCATCATATTTTGATATCATAACAGTACAGGCACCACACCCTCCTTCACCACAAACTAACTTAGTACCAGTTAGAGTTACTTTACCGAGTTAAGGTATTTATCTTATACATATTACCGTGAACGCCTGAAAATCCGGAATCCACAAACGCCAATCCCATTACATGTATATACATTCGCCTTCAATTTCATGGCGGTTTGGTGGAGGTCATCCTCGGTATCCCCGGTGGTGTCATTGCGTTCCACTTCACTAACCACCGGGTTTATCCATGGGCGAGACACGTAATCAACTTATCTGTCCTTGATGATTGTGCTAATTTTATCGACCAATCAAAAAAATCGTTAAATACATAAAAACTGACATAAAAACATATCGTTTTGTGTGCATGTTATATCTTTTATATTAAATTTCTTGCAAACTTTCTCATAATCGAGCGAACAGGGCTAAGACTGGTTTGTAAACTGTTTTTGGTTGGTTCGTAGAATCAAGCTACGATAAAGGACAGATAATTTGAATACGTGAATACTCCCATGGATGAAATCAGGGTGCAGTGGAGTAGAACGGGATGAGACCACTGGGGATACAGAGTATGGGTGGAGGTGGGGAACATTAAATAATTTGACGAGACCAACTTCATGTTGTTATTAAAACGCGAATAATTCATTTGTATAGTCATTTCCACATGAGAAATCGAGTATGACCGTAGAGATACATAAGATCGTTACTTGTCCGAATAGTTCTTATTGTTTAGAGTTCGGGGAAATAACCCCCATAAAGCAGTTTTGGAGGTCATATGCAAATATTTCAATACATTCGTTTGAAGCATACATCATTACACAGATGCGTTAAATTTACATGCTTGAATCGACCAACAGTCTGTGAAATCCGGGGCCGTTTCGCTTTTTCTCATTTCTATACAAACTACAGGAATTTCATAAAGGATACGTTTATTTCGGAGATATTGTAATAAGGTGCATTTTGGGTCTGGTTGGTTTTCAATTATCTGGAAGATATAATATATTGTATTATTAATAAGATTTAATATTAAGTGAAGCCATCTTAGGTTGCCTAACAACGAAACATAAAACCACAACAGCTACGATATCAGAGCAGTTTATAAAGGTTACCATGGGCCTGCGGGTGACATAGAAGTAATAATCGAATCGGATCTTGCTGAATTTAGACAAATAGGCGATAACCATGATAAAGGGGGGTCAGGAATGCATGTGCACAATGAAACAAGTGGGTGTACACTGAAATGAGGGAGTAAACAGCAGTCAGCGATTCCCTCGATAATTTCCGGCGAATTTGGGTTTATCTCAGGCCCAGGTATATAAACCATAATTACGAGGGTGGTTTGCGCCCTGTTATGATGTACGACTGAACAATAAGGTCTACTTTCTATGTGAAATCATTGGTTAAGATGAAATGAGTTAGGTATATACATTTTATGGTCACAGCTTTATCTGGGGACTACTTCATTTTGAATTCTGTCCATATATACATTTTATGGACATAGCTTTATCTAGTGGCTAATTCATTTTAAATTATGTCCAGCCTGGCGGAACACGTATGAATATGGGCTATATACGTGTCCCAATATTATATAGATGAAATGAGTTAGATATGGACTTTGCATTGAAGGAAAAAGAAGGGTACATGTATATAAATTTATGGTCACAGTTTTATCTAGGATCTAATTCATTTTAAATTCGGTCCAGCATGGCGGAGCACGTATGAATATAGAGGTATAAGCTATATACGTGTCCGAATATGCTAATATAAACAGGTTGCCCCACTTACCTTTTCGCCATTGACGTAGAAGACAAGATTTTGGTTTGATTTTCCTTCCATTACAGCACTTGGTATTTAACAATTACAAACTATAGTTAACTCCCTGGTGATAAATACTGTATTTACCTATAAAATATAAACTGGAGTAGGATAAGCATTATCACGTCCACCAAGAAAACAAAAGAAAAAAGTTTGAAAGATAATTATACAATTTAAATTAACATTAGATTTTCCAGCTGTCGACAATTCCGACACCGACAATGACATATTTTGTACCAGTGTTCGTTAAACTGAAAACCGTTGTAAATGCATACAACCTGTAAAATAGTTCAAGGCTGGGACGACGACACTTCGGAGGTAAATTGTATTGTCAGATTTGTTTGCCTAATGGCCAAGACGTCCAGCGCGCTATGGCTCTTAAAGTTGTGAATGAAGTTAATCTCACGAACTCACAGGCTAGATATATATATTTTTATTTACATAGCTATGTATGTAAGTGTGCCTTCATTTAATCTTTTCCTGTACGTATGTCATAGTGTGCAACAAACAATATATTTTTGTTGTGCACTAACAAGTAATTCATATCTCTTGAAGACATTAAAGACATTATGTGTTAACAACCTCTTCTAATTATTAGGTAGGTCATTCTATGTTCAATATATTTCATTTTTATTGTATACGCTGATTATATCTTTTATGTAAATTTATATTGTTAGCATATGTCCAGCTAAATATATATTATGCTGATTTAAGGTTTTAGACATTTTAAATAAATCTTGTTTTAAATAGTAATACATAAAGTACATACTTGTAAATAGCAGTATAATTGATACAATAGCCGTGTGCTAATTATCATCAATAATTATACTGTTGTACGAAGTATTAATGATCGTTCACATTCGATAAAATAACCTTTCGTGTTCATATCGAATGTGAGGAACAAATAACCTAAGAGTTCACGTTCAGTAATATGGTTACGTCATAACCATCATTAATAATGAGAAGGCATCTCAAACTTTTTAATTATCACGCATCAGCGTTCTAGAAATATTATTTTCATAATTAGTTATTACTGACACATGATGTCATATTTATATGTATTGTGTAATTCAATTATTATACAATTACTGTTATTTTTATAATCCTATAATTGCATATTTTCACAATTGCATACTTTCATAATTGCATATGTTCATAATTGTATAATTACTATATATATTGTATGATGATTATTATCTCTTGAAGACATTAAAGACATTATGTGTTAACAAAATCTTCATATTATTAGGTAAACATTGTGAGAACTAGTGACAAATAACCCAAGGGTTGCGTCACATCGGCCAAGACAAGATAAGAGCACGTTCTCACGTATTACTACACGAGTGAGAATAACGTCCTACTGTTCCTCTTTTCTCCTTTTTTTGTGGGGTGGAGGGGGTGGGGAGAACATTAGGAACATCTCTTGGTCATAATACTATTTACAATATTATCATTTTATTGTCCTTACTAATTTATTTGTCATTCATTTGTAATTCCTATACCTCATTTATTTCGTTCAAAATGTGTGTTCCATGTCCGCAATATTGGTTCCATCCGAAATCTAATTACTCCTTCTGTCACGGCTACACTAGCCCGTTCCCTTGTATTTTCCCGTTTGGACTACTGCAATAGTTTACTTGCCGGAATTAATAAAACGTCAATTTATAAACTGCAGCTCATTGAAAACAGGGCAGCGCGGATCGTAACACGAACTCCTTTGAGAGACCGTATCACCCCTGCACTTAGGTCACTTCACTGGCTAAACACGAATTGACTTTAAATTGATGTCTCTCACATATCAATGCATATACTGTGAAATGCCATCTTATCTGAAAGAACTGGTGGTACCTTACATGCCATCGGAAAATCTAAGATCAAGTACTAAGAACAACCTTGTCGTCCCAAAATATAAACTAAGCTCCTTTGGAGCTCGCTCATTTAGTGTTGTTGCTGCCAATATGTGGAACTCGCTACCTGAAAATCTTCGATCCAGTCCATTATTAGACTCCTTTAAATCCAAATTGAAAACATACTTATTTGAAAAATATTTGCGAGAGTGATTATGAGCACGACTATATGTGGAATTAGCGCGATGTAAATGGACTTATTATTTATCTGTCCTATTTATAGGATTCTTATCACATTTACACTTAACCGTCAGCGTGCGTGCTGTTTCATACGGCCTGTCATTGGGTCGCCTGTCCAACCTCATGGGTTTTCTCCGGGTCCTCCGGTTTCCCCCAACTGCTAAAGACCCCGGCGCACAAGCGAATTATTGAAATAAAATTAGACCATATGTCGGTCCCGAAATGAACTAGTTTGTTTGAGTGGACGTTAAACCCCATTTCTCTCTCTCTCTCTTAACCGTCAGGACAGTGGAGTTTGGGGTTTGCGGGATTTTAAGTCAGACTCGAAAGAGACTCGGTGTTGTCATTGGAAGACCAAATTGTAAATGCATTCGATGAAGTCTGATTGTATTTTTATGCTAATATAAAATGTTATAAGTTAAAATCAACATATCCTTTATCATATATCAACCAGCACCATGGGTTATGGTGAGGTCGTTTTGTTGTCATTCTACAGGTCGCAATTCTCATCGAATCTTTTGAAATTCTAATATAGATTCAATCGTCTAAAAGAAAGACGGAAATAAATTAAAACAATTTCTGGCAATTACTCACATAGTTACCGCCCTTAACTTACGAAAACATATTAACAACCTTCTACAATTACTCACAGATATTATCTCATAGATTTAAAGGGCAATGGTGGTGTCCAATACTTTTACATTATTATATATAATAAAACCAGATAAATGAATTTAAAATATAATTTTAACTAGTCTTCAAATCTTTTGTTGAATCAACCATAGCAACGTCATCTATATTAAAACTATGTTTTGAGGATCCGTATAGATTTGGAATGATTACCTACAATAAATCGATTTATTGAAGAAGAGTGGATCATAGTTTTGCTCTAGTCTTAATATTAATTTTTAGCAATATCTAACTGCAAATGAAAACTGACATATGCCATGCAATGTGCTGAGGGAAATTTTGTCCGGTCCACGGCGCAATGGCCTATTCCAATTGTCATGGGTCCTTTTAGGTGCACGCCAATGAGTACACGAGACTCGGCTCTTCGTCACTTACGAACGACTCTACGTTGTCCCTTGTTCGGCACTCTGTCTCGGACCACCCGACATATATACCAAAATTACCATACTTTTATTGGAAATAACCACCCGACAAATACTTTTCTGGGAACCCATCTTTAAGCTACGCACTGAACGGTAACATTATAGAATATATCCTTGGGCACTCCAGAATTTTGATCACTCGGTAACTTGACTTAAAAGAACGTATTTGATATACGATTAACATTAAAATATATTTTATTGCAAAAGAAACGTCATGACGTTAGGCGGTTAAGACGTATGTTTTAAAAATACTTTAATAAAAAAAAATTGCAGTGTGGGAGGTACTAAAGAACATCTTACATTTTAAAATGTACGCTGTTCCGTCGAGATATATTTGTGCTGCTGTTGAATGTTGAAGTGGGAACGATACAAAATAGTCTTCGGGGAAAGAATTGGAATTTGGGCAATACCAATTAAAAGAGGAAGCAAGCGTTTGCTGGTTATCTTTTGGTAGGCTCTCTACAACATCCGATGAAACTTCTCAAAGAATTCACGGGGTTGTGTTTTTGTACAGAAACACATTCTCTTCATTACAGACGCATAACGCAGGAGCTAAATCTGCTTATTGCAGGTCTTTGTACTAGCTTTAAATACTATTAAGGCATTCATTCACATGACAGGCCCATAATCAACTCTCTAGCTCATCGGCTTAATAATATATTGCTTGGATTAGAACCCTCTCACCATTTAATATTTTAACGATACAATGGATAATCGCGACTTTGTTTATTATTGTAGCAATCGTTCCTACCAACCGAGAATACATTGTCAAAATTTCAAATACTCATAACGTTGCTAAGAATAAAGAAAGTTGGCCTATTCATTTCTCATTATCCATTTTTGAACTAGAGCAAGAAAAGTCTTACATAATGCATCTTTAATATGAAATTGTAATTTTTATTCTTATTAAATACTTACTGGCTAAAAGATGAATGAGTAGGACATTGACTCGCTAAAGTGGATGTGTTAGATCCCGGCGATGGCCGAGAAAGTTGCAGCGTGGTTCCCGCTTGTCTGTAATGTAGGACGTTCGGATGGGACGAAAAACTGAGGTCGGGTGTACACTCTGACGTGCCCGTAAATGAACCCTTGACAGTTGGAATTCGAAATAAAGAGTAAATCGTAGCGCCTCTGTCCGGGAAAAATTTTCCCCATAGTACACTTTATGCACGTCTTCATTGACGCAGATGGGCAGAACAGTAGAACGTTAAACTCCATTTTATTTCCATTTTAAAGGCGCTAAAGCACTGGCTTTATCTATTCACGTAAACTTTACAGCAAATAAAGATTAGCATCAGCCTATTTATTGCGTGTAACATTAAACAAATTAAACTTTCGCATTTTCCGTGTTTAGAAAACAAAATATCTTATATTTTATTGTACTTGAATACATCCCTGATCGACGAGAAAGTACGAACAGCATTTGCTATTTTATACTCTTCTGTACTTGGAGATAAGGACCGATACCCCAAGGCAACGTATTAATCCCACTAACAAAAATTATTAAAAAAAAGTATTGTTTGCTTTTTATAACAATTTACCAATTCATCATGTTAGATATTTATTCGTGACATAACGGTCCGTCACGCCATTCCCAATATATTTACAAATCGTTTAGGAAGTTATTAATCAAAGTTTTGTACTTCTGTCAATTTATAAAGACTAACAACGCATGTTTTCATTAGGATTTCATACAAAGGAGTCATTACCGATCAGTCCTCTGCGTGATGCTTTAGTACTGTCAGTTTAATATAATGGACAGCACACGCATATTAGTTATTGCTTCTGGTAATTCTATTGGCGTTTTTGTTTTCCTTGTAGCACTATTGACATCCGGTTTCTGTGAAAAGGTAAGATTAGATTAAGTTTGTGATTGTTTGTTGTGTTT